AAAAAATTCACTCACACAATTGCACCCCCTGATTTAAAAAATTGCAACTTTCACACAAATGTTGGCAGGAACGTGAAATTTTTACCACCTGTAGACGAGAATCGCCTTTGAATATCTAAACAACTTCATTCAAATCCTGCCAAATCTTGCTTTTCGCCAAACAAACCAATGCTGACCAAAACATAAACCTTTTCAAACTACTCCACCCGGTGTTCGAAAAAAATCCAACTTACACACAACGTTCAGTAGGAACGTGAAATTTTCAGCATCTACGGATCAGAATTGATTCCAAACGTCTGTAAAATTCTGGTTAAATCGACATACATTCTGATTTTTGCCGATCAAGTAAATTTTGGCTGAAAATGAGCGTTTTCACACAATTACACGTCCTGTTTTAAAATAATACAACTTCCACCCAAGGTTTGGTGACAACGTGAAATTTCGACTATTTGCAGACAAGAATAGGTCCTCAAAGTTCTGAAAATTTCAGCAAAATAGCGTACAATCCTGATTTTTGCCGATCAAGTCAAAGCTGGCTAGAAACGTTTATGCAAAATAACACGCTCTGCGTGAAACAGACGCAACTTCCAAAGTAACTTTAGTAGCAACTTGAAATTTTCACGGCCTTCCGAGGGTAATCGACTATAAAAGTTCAGTTAATTTTACGAAAATCTAGAAAAATCTTGATTTTTGTCGTCCAAATGAATGCATTAAAAATTGCAACTTCCAAACAAATTTTGGTAGGATCGTAAAATTTGTACCATCAGCAGATGACTAAAAACCGACTAAGAATTTTTCAAAAATTTCATTGAAACCGAACAAAATCTTGACTTTTTCAAGTGAATCCTGGACCTGAAATGAACGCGTTTGCTCGTTTGCATTCAAAGGAGCTTGTGAAAGCAAACAGTATTTTCCATTTAAATATTCTTTGTGCAAATCTGCTCTGCGCTCGTTTAGAATTAAATTTACGAAGTCTTTCAAGCGGATTTTTCATTCTTAAACAATCTGTTGTTCCAGAGTTATTGAGGGGGAGACAATTCAGATATAAACAGTGATTTTTAAACAAAAATCTAAATTTAGTTTTTCCGTTATGACCTCGGTTTCAACAGATTCTCTGGAGACTTTGGTCTAAAATAACAACTGTTTTCCAACAGTACTAAAAGTTCTGAAGAACTGTGCTAATCTCAGGCACACTCAGGACCAGTTTGGAGTCTATGAGTACTGAAAATAACACTCCAAAATTTTTCTGCGAGTATTTTACTGGCTGATTAGCTTTTATTTTCTCAAATAGGACGACAATTTAAACATATGAAGCTTCCGGTTGTCTTCATTTCATCAGGAAATATTCTTGTTCCAATTGCGCCAAAAGCTGCAGCCAATTAAGTGAAAAAGAGTGTTCTAGATGGTTCAAGGGTGCAATTTTAACCACCGAGCATCTCGTCTTCTACTTTTACTACACATTTTCGCAAATTGCGAAAATAACATGCATTGCTTCCTTTAGTTAAATTTTGTCGCTCGGCTGCAGCATTTTATTGTGTAGTTTCAGCGGAAAGTATGACAAAAACAAAGTTTCCACTTGAATAGCATCCTGCCGATACAGTCTAGTATTTTGCTATACTCACTGTTTCACCCTGCGGCATTAACTTAACAGGAAATATACGGCATGCGCGAACATTATCCTGATACACTGGCACGCATTCTACGATATTTCAGCGTTTCCAGTTTTCTTCGGACTTCGCGCTGGCATGTTTTCGTAAACCGATCCAGATTTTCCGGAAAACTTTGCGATCGCCCATTGAATTGTTCCGCAAAGTTTCGATGGTCGCTGGCCAGATGTAATCGGCGGTGCGATTTCTTCATGTTTTCGTTCTTTTATTTTTCTGATCGGTTTCCATTGCATGAATCCGTTCGTTGTTCGCGACCCACCGCGTTAACACCAGACAATAAACACGAAGTTCTACGAAGTGTTTGAAATTAAAAGATGCTCCTCCGACAGAATTGATGATGGCAAAAAGTTCATCGTTGTACAGACTGGGTAAGTGCTCCTCAATCAGTCTGAATCAACTCAAAAAGTTGCAAATTATTGAGCGGTGTGTCGTACCTTCGTCAATTATGCGAAATTTTAAATTATTAATTTAAAAAAGTTCTTATTTAAATTAATTCCATAAAAGCTTATTTAATGCTTCTTATGCTCGCAATCCTCAACCCAGCCAAACAGGATCAAATAACGCCCGCCTTCCACCCGCTAAACCTCGACTAAATCTACTCCCTAATCAAATGTGTTCGCACCAAAAACTCCCGGAACATTGTGTTCAGCATTACATCATTAGTAGCGCTTGATTGGGCTTTTATTGATGTTCGTTACCAGCCCTAATAGATTAAATTCTGAATTAGTGGCGGCTCTATGTCTTCCTCTATCTCCACATAGGAAATAATTGGTTTTGAGGAAAGTGTTCTTGACCAAAATGTTTCATTTACAACAAATAATTGCAGAATAGCGAATTAGGGGCGCGTTATTTCAAATTAATAATTAAACTTTCGAGGTTTGTTCATAATGGAGCTTGACCCCGCATAGAGTTCCATTGTGGCTTTTTAATTCAAAATTCTGTTTTGTTGACGCGGGTTTTATTGAACAGCAAACTTACTTTGCCAGTGCATATAAAGTTTTCGCTTGGAGTGAATTTTTGTGGGTTTGAAAATATTTTGTTTACTTGCCCAGCGCTGTGAAACGCGAACGTTTAGCAGTAATTTGATGTTTTTACCCTCCGCACACAAGAGCTGACCCTAAACGCTTTGAAATTTTCATTAAATTAAATTAAATTCGGATGTTTGCCGACCAAGTCAATATTGGCTAAGAACTGAACGCAAATCTGCTTTAAAAAGATACAACTTCCAAAAAAACTAGTAATAATCTAAAATTTTTGGCATCGGCCCATGAGACGTGGTTCTCAACCTTCTGCAATTTTGCTTAAAATCGGACAAAACTCTATTTTTTGTCGACCCCGTCAATATTGACCAAGAAATGCGCGCYTTTGCGAAAGTACACGCTTTGAAAAAATCCAACTTCCAAAAAAACTTTCATACTAACTTCAAATTTCCACCATCCACYCAAGAAYTTCTGAAMTTTTAATGGAAATCGAMGAAAACCTTCTTTTTTTACGAGCAAGTAATGCTGGTCAAGAAATGTGCGAATGTTGGCCAAAAAACGGCCACGCTCTGCTCTAAAAAGATGCAACTTTCAAAACATGTGTASGAGTAAGTTGAAACTTTCACCAACTGTAGAAAAGAATTGACTCTAAAGGTGAGGAAATTCTKTTTAAAATCGAAGACAATTCTCATTTTTCCMGATTTAGTCAATAATGGCCGAGAAATTAAGGTTTTCGCAAAGCYACACGCCTTACYTWAAAAAAAATTAACTTGCAAGCGACACTTARTAGCAACGTTAAATTGTTACCATCCMCAGACACAAATTAACRCWCAAACTGCGAAATAAAAAWKTATTTAATGTWKRGAAARATTCCSGGTTTTGCCRACCAAATCAATGATAAGCAAAARATRAACGTTTTGGTAGAATTAAACGACTTCCTTTAAAAACATCTAACTTCTACACGAAGTTGAGGAGCACCCTCAAATTTTCAGCATCTACAARCAAGWGTTGACRGTGCAATSCYGMAAAATKACATTCAARTTGAGTAAAATTCTGATTTTTCCCGCCCAAGTCAATGCTGACAAAAAAATTAAATTAAAAAAATTACTTTAATTGCTTTAAAAAAATCCAAGTTTCACACGAAGTTCAGTAGCAACGCGAAATTTTCAGCATTTTCTTACCAAAACTAAATCCGAAAGGCGTCAAAGTTTCATTAAAATCGCACACAATCCCAATTTTTTACCGACCAAGTCAATGCTGGCGACAAACCGAAAGTTTTCGCACAATTTTGCGCTCTCTTGTAAAAACATCCGACTTCCAAACCAAACTAAGTAGCAACTTAAAATTTTCACCATCTATAAAGGGAAACTCATTCTCAAAATGCTGAATTTATGATTAAAATCGAAGTTGATCTTGCATTTTCCCGTCCAAGTCAATGCTGGCAAAAAAAATACTTTAATTGTTTTAAAAAGTCGAACTTTCACGCGACGTTCAGTAACAACGCGAAATTTTCAGCATTTGCTTAAGAAAAGTTAATCTGAAAGCCTTCAAAGTTTCACTAAAATCGCACAAAAGCTCAATTGTTTGCGACCAMGTCAATGCTGGCCAAAAAACGARAATTTCCGCAAAATTCCGCGCTCTGTTTTAAAAAATCTAACTTTCAAACGAAGTTSASTAGCAACGYKAAATTTTCAGCATTTRCTKAMGAAAAGTWAATCTGWAAGCCTTMAAARTTKCAYYAWAATCGCATAAAATCTCAATTTKTTCYGACCAAGTAAACGCTGGSCAAAAAACGAAAGTTTTAKCAAAAWTTCGCTCTGTTTTAAAAACATTTCGCWTCCAAACCAAACTCAGTAGCAACTTSAAAKTTTCACCATCTAYAAAGGGGACTATTGACTATATCGACTATATAAAACTATTGCTCGAAAAGTGGAAAAYCTTGAAAATTTCATTAAAATCGCACAAAATCTCTACTTTTTTCTGATCAAGTCAATGCTGGGCAACCAATAATTGACGCTAAAACTTGGCCATTTTTCCTTTATCAAAGGCTTGAAAAGCACAATTAACAATCGTTAACATCGGAAAAGCCCTCGGGCGAGTACAAATGACGACTTAAATATATACTCTTGGGCCGCAAAAATAAAATAACATTTACAGTTTAATCTCTTAAACCGATTACGGAGCGAATAATCGCGTAGCTTAACCCTTATCACGTTTTCTTTAGAACGTCTGGCGCCTCGCCCGAATCGGTTTAAGTGCCCCACAGTCTTCCAGAATTAAGAGTCCATACAAAGGTTTCTGTCCTCTAATGGATCCTTTCGGGGTTAGTAACTTGTTTCCTTGAACTTGTGCATTCCGTCTTAAGAATCTGGTTGTTTTAGGGTGAAACACCTAATGAAGATTGGTCGGATCAGCCCGAATTTTCCAGTATGACTGGGATTGATTGAACTGTTTTGCCAAAAACTCTATTTTTACTGGACTGGTCAAGTGATTGAAAAACTCAGCAGTTGAAACTACGGAAGCTTTTTCCATTAAACTGCCAAAACAGTGCGTTCCCAACTTGCTCTAGTTTCCGCAAAGGAATTAATTTACTTAAGCGGTTGCAGAAGTACGTGCAATTCTATTCTAGAGCGAAATTCCGCAGTTGTTCAAAGGAGCAAATCATGTGCGACCTGAAGACGTAAAAATAACACTCACAGCTAATTTCCGTGTTAAAAAAATTGTTAAATAAGGGAAACGCAGATTGTGAATTAATCCGTTGTTAGAATGCTTATCCATTAATATTCGGCTTTCAAGTAAGGGCAAAAACAAATACTTTCCTTTAGCAGCATTCGCCTGAAAACGGAAAGCGAGCTAAGAACATTAAATCTTCCATTCGTACCTTGCAGTTATTTGCAGAACTGTGCAAAGGAAAACAAATGGCACACGCGGCAAAATATCGAGTCCACAGGATCGTACTGAACAAAAAATAACCCGAACTTCATTCAATGGAAATTAATTTTCAGGCATAAGTTTTCTAGACGTTTCCAGCGTATAAAGAAATAGAAGCAACGCTTCAAAAGCTCTGAAAACTTTGGAAGCAGATCCCGAACAGCTAAATGGCCAATTTCCGATTCGAAAATAATAAAATCTTCACGTCCCAACATTAATGGAATCATATTAACGACGTCATTCGTGTAGATGTGATATAAAATTGATTTCTACAAGCGTCCAATATTCCCTGATTTATTGGGATGAGATTCTCATAAAAGCGCCGTAAATATGTTTTATAACAAGACGCATAAAACGGGTCTAGAGCAAAACGACTGCCGCATTACGTTTAATTCATGGCTCAGTATTTTATTTACTCTAAAATAGCTTTAAAGTTACATTAAGGAGTCTAGAAATATGCCATCGAATAATACGAGAAACGAAACGAATGGTGCTGGAGTTTATTTGAAAAGAACTTGGATGAGCAGAGTTAATCGTTTTAGGAGGATTTTTCATTGATGGTTGACTTATTTAATTATTTCGAAAGCAAATTCAAATCGAGAAACCCGTAACGAACGTGACTGGCAAAATGAAAACATGATTTCCATTATGTACCTACATGAGATTACAGCAATTATTTTTAGTGGCAAAGTAATCGTTTGGTATTTCCCAGCTCTGCTAATTAAAGAACGCCCGTATGGCATATGAAAAGTCAACCATTAGAACTGTTTATCCGATCCGTTATCTGCATAGTATCGTTTGCATTTTTTATGGGCTTTGACTACAAAAAACCCTCCCAAACGACATAGATAGACGTGCCACTAAAACCTGATTAGTTTTATCTAAATGTTTCATCTGCAATGTTTTGTTGTTAGATCGCGTGTTCTATAAAACGCTTTCGCTTTCCTCCATTGACCGGGAAAAAAATGTTTAAATTATTCCGATGTGGACAAGGTTTCTAAATTACCAGCAGGAGCCGCTCTATTTCTTGCAAAACTTTACGCGAATATCAATAGCTGATTTTTCGAGTTTACTCGAGTGTTAGGCACGTTTCAAAGGTTTAGAACACAAAATACGTAATTTTGAAAATTCCAAAAATTTGCTAGAAAAAGTGGGCTTCGGGTACTTTATGTAATAGTGAGGCCCTCGATTTGAGGGAATGAACAAGTGTGCTTCAAATGTGCAAAAAACTGGCCACATTAAGTTTCTTACAGAAAACAGGGCCTTGCGAATCCTCACCTTTGGCTAGAAAGTTTTGTTTCAAAATTGCCAAAAACCTCGCTTAAGTGAGTTTATGTCCATTCCTTTCTTCTCTCGTATGTTTATCACACTTTCTTCAATAAAAAGCCTGCTGAAAACATAATATTTCTTGCAAAGCGACTTGAACGATACGCAATTTCGTAATTCAATACATAAAACACCGGAAATATAACGTCATTGAACATTTCCAAGCAATTACTCGCTATCAGCCCCAACACCGAGCTTTCTGCAATTTTTTTTAATCCCTTCAACTCAGTATCATCTGAAATTTCCGTGCTTTTATGTCCCAATAAAAATTGGGCTAAAAACTCTTGCGGATAGGCTTCAATTGAAGAAAAAAAGTCCTGCTTCTACAGCGACTACAATTGAAAGCAACTTGGCCAAGTGAAATGTACTTGAAATATTAACTATTAATCAAAATTCCGGATAGAAAAGCGGAATCCGGATCCTTCTGCATGCCAGATAAAACTTTTGTTCCCCCATTCTACTGACAAATGTACTCGAAAGGCGATAGAGCAAAGACTATCAATTTATCAAATTCGCTCAAATTTGCTTCGCAAAACTGCTGAGTCGTGAGCTTTTCCAATAAAGCAACTGTGGAATTAACTAAAGAGGTCTGAGTCAAAATATTAACAGGAAAAGTTCTAAAAATTAATTGTAAGCTGATGAGTAAAGTTATCCAGATTCATTTGTAAACAGTTCTGTTGTTTAGTGTCCAGTTTCTGTTTTTTACTGAACTTACTTATAGTTTTCTTTCTGTCATTTTAGGGTCGAATTTTCTGGATTAAATTGAATTAATTTGGCTTCCTGTTGGCCCCCAATTTTTTGCGACAACTTTTAGAAAAATTCGTTGTTCAATGTTGTGAAGCGTCAAATTCAAAAAATTCACAAAATATTATAAAAAATCGTGCCAATTACGAAACTGCTGCATGTTTATACCCACACTTTCGCAATTAAAAGAGATAAATATCAACGTCCAATCTCTTCCCAATTTTCACTGATTTATTTTTGGAAAAATCTCGCGAACTGTGCCAAGAACAATATTTAGGGTCGAGTTCCAAACTTCTCCCAAACCTGATGAAATTTATTACACTTTAGTAAATTTCCGCATATTTAGACCAATAGTTGGTCTTTTAAATGAGGTCCATATATGAAATCGGTCTACCTCTTGGTATTTTTGACGAATTTTTGAAAAATGCGTTGTGCCACCGGTGCAAAGTACAATCCTCAGGCGGGTGTTAAAAAATCGCTAA